GGATTCGAACCCGCCACCTTAGGTGTACGTGGCTGGCGCCTTAGCCGGTTGAGCTATAGGCGCCGAGCCCAAAATAATACTCTTATGTACTATTAAGATCTGTAAATACAATTAATCTAAGCACTAGGTGCTATAATAGCTAACACTATATACAGAATTTACTATTGCCGGACATTGTTCTAAGTGCTTTATATAAAGTAATCATTTAATTCATGCTATGTACTATTATTGTCCCTATTTTATGGCTGAAGAAACCCAAGGAGACAGAAGTTAAGGAACATCCCCAAGGTCATAAAGTTAGTAAGTAGTAGAAATAACATTTGAGCTCCAGAGTCCAGCTCCTATTATATTACAGTTACTCTCTTATTCAAGAGTATAAGAAAAAAAAGTCTGGAATGTTTAATAGTAATAGCCCACAACTGAGGTTTTCTACACTTAACCATTTTATGACAACTATTTATAATGTCACTATAGGAAAAAAACTAAAATTTGGGTTATCCTCCTTAACAAATATCTTGATTATGCAAAGCACTTATATGAAAATAGCAGGTAACAAATATAAGATAATCCTCTTAACAATACACACTCTTAAGATTTATGGTTTAAATACAGTATTTCTAAATAAAGGCCCCATAAAATAGGAGATTCCTTCTACCTGAACTTCTAACCCCTTTTCTTTATGACCAGAATTCAAGAATACAAATCAACATCTTCTAAACTCACAGTTACTAAGGGAGAAGCGGCTAGAATTTTTTTTTTTTTTTGGAAATTTAAGCCAAAGCCACAATAGATTTCATGTCAAGTTAATGTGTTTACATGTTTCCATAGATTTCTAAGGGATATTAGGGATAATAATAGTATTCATCGATTATAATCATAAACATAATAACCCTAATCATAATTATTTATGCTAAATAACTAGCTAGACACTATAAGGTGAGTGTGGCCTTCTGCTCATACACAAACATATAATCTACAACTCTCATGGTGCTAATCAGAGAAAAATAAGTTGTATTGCTCTTACTGTTGAATTTCATTTAGAAAAGACAATCTAGAGAAGAGAGATGCTGCTCCTAACGGAGACTTTCTCAGTACATGTTAGTAAAAACACTAATGTGATTTCTCTCTATGGCACTCTGTGGTTTATCACACATTTTCCAATCTCCTGATACTCCAGTGCTCTACCATAATATTCACTTGACTATCTATATTCTTTGAAAATGTGCACCTGGCTAATTTTGGTCTGAAAATTCAAAGGATGAGAAAGAGTTATTCTTCCAGGCAGAAGAGATAGCACAATAACAAAAAGCAAAGCCAGTGAGAAACGGAGAATGGAGCATAAAATGCAAGGTAGGAAGCCAAGACGATGAAACTGGAGAATCAAGGCAGAGAGCAGACTGTGAGAGGCCTTGCAAGACATGTCAAAGAGTTCTGATTCTGTCCTTTAACTAACAGGAAGCTAGTGCTGAATTTAAAACAAGAACATAAGCAC